TTGCAATTTCTGCACATCGCCTCTTGGACAGGCCTTATGGCTAGTCCAGGGCAATTTTTTTGCACACCAGCCCCTAAGGCCTGTCAGCGTGGTGCACTGGCACTTTAGTATTATTTATTGCACTTAATGCACGATTGGCTTTTTTTAAAAGCGTTTTTGACCCACAGATGCAGCGGGTACAGGTTCCTTTGGGGCCTTTTCCTGATGTAGGGAGGAGATTCTGTGCCCTTATAGAGGGTTCTCTGTCTCCTCCCAAACCAGGGGGGGTTTCTCTTTGGGAGATCCCCCTACCTAGTACTGTGTGGGACCTGTTTCGGCAGGTCCCCGTAGGATCGGGGTCCGCCAGCCTCCGGGTTGGTGGACCAACAGTCTCAACCCCTGTCAGGAGCCTTGCGCCCCGGGGGTCGGGAATTGAGGTCCCTTCTTTGTGAAGGACCAAGCACCCTTGTTCACGTTTTTGTGTGCTGTGATTTCACGGTTCACTTTTTTTGTTCACAGGGGGAAGTTTGTTTTATGATGCACGTCCACGGGCTCTTAAAAAAAAACAAAAAAAAAAAAACCCCATAAACCTAAGAAAATATTTTTAGGTGATGTTACCCTTTACATTTGTTATACAAAAGTGTTGTCACACCTAAGATGCAGAAAACATTTGCAGATTTGGTTTTCCAATAGATGAAGCATGTTCTGCTTCAGTCCTCTAACATCTATATGTACAGACACTATTAACTGCCAATTTACAATAGTTAATTCCCAAAATATATTTATTTAATGCTTTAAACATCTCTAAAAATCCTCTAAGTCTCCTACAGTTGTAAACAAAATTATTCACCCCCCCACTGTAAATCAGGTTTATTGGCAAATTTTACAGACTTTTAGCAGTTTGCAGTGAACAAATCAAGCAACACAATTGTGGTTTCCCCAAATTAAACTGAAAATGCAATTTTTAATGATTCTACAGTCTCAAAATTATTCAACCCCTTCCTGGCAAGCATCTTCAGTATTAATAACTGTTATGACCTGCTGCAAATGAGATGCATTGCCAGACACTAGTTTCTGGCAGTGTTCTAGAGGAATCATGAGTAATAGTCTTCAGTTCACTAATATTCTTGGGTTTGTGTGCTGCCACCACCTTCTTCTAGTGATGCAAATTACCCTGGTTTTCAGTGAAAGGAGGTCCGGTTGGCAACACCCTGGTAGTATATAATCATTTGTTATTAACTGGATAATTAGCTGTATAATTCCCAGTCTCAACTGAAAAAGGAAGGAGGAGCTTTTAAGGCCAACTTAACAGATCCACTTGTTAAAAAGTTATTCCATATTTAATATATATTTCATCCATAAAAACATGTATTTTTCAATGAACTCAATATATGAACTATAAATATTTGGCCATATGCTGGTCCACATATATGTATGACTTCAGTAGTTCTTCAGCTTACAGTGAAGAAACCATAAATTGGTCAAGGTTGCATAGGACCCTATTCAGGGTATCCATGTATACTGTATGTAGTCTTCGACACGTTCCTCAGAAGGATGGACACAGCAATTGTAAACCAGCTTGAGAGACTATTAAGATGCACACACAGACTCCACAGAAACCCTCTGGACATCTATCTACAGGAGAGACAGTACAGCAGGGGGAAACACAGGTACACCGCCAGATACTGCCACAATATAGATAAAACACCTGAGCAGTCTGCAGCATGGAATGCTTCTTTTTAGCTTCTTGCTGTGGATCAAGTGCACCGCACCTAAAAGCCCCTCCTTCCTTTTTTGTTGAGACTGGGAATTATCCAGCTAATCACCTTCTTCTAATCCCACCAGAGATTTTCTAAGGTGTTCAAGTCAGGTGACTGTGATGGCCACTGTAGAATCACCCAGAGGAGAAGTTTAAAGTGGTGCACAAAGCATGTTACTGTAAATTGTGGTTGGGGCAGCTAAAACCTGAGCCTACATACAGAGTGCAGGGGTTAGAAATATGTAGTGTACGGTAGGCAGGTGTCAGGAGTGTGTAATGTGCACAGTGCAGGAGTCAAGAGTGGGTTATGCAAACAGTGCAGGGGTCAAATAAGTGTAACATGGTCAGTGGTCAGGTGTGTAATGATTATAGTGTAGGGGTTAGGTGTATGAAATGTACATAGTGCAGGGGTCAGATGTATATACAACCCAGCACCCCTAATATTAATTTCACCTACACCCCCTTGTGCATAACACAGAAGTACCACCTATACACACACACACACACACACACATATTGTATACACATATACAGATACACACACACACACAATGTGTACACACATATACTGAATACACATGGGAACACATGAACACTGTATACACATACATACATACACACACACACACACACACAATCAATTACCACATCAATTACCCTCTGCTGACATGGCTGGCTCTCCATCTATCCTCTTCAGCTGCCCTTGCTGGTGGGAAAGCTTGGAGAAGGTGGTGCTGACAAGGTGTAGCATCATAGACTGTTTAAAGCCACACTCCTCATATCTGTATATTAGCAAAATGTGGCTGCTGGTAAGCAACATGTTAGACAACCCAGGCAGCAGAAAAAACATGGGCAGTACTATCATCGGAACCCGTGGCACCAGGCAACAGATGCAGGGCACGTGTCCTGGGTGCTCTGCACTAAGGATGTCCATGCCATGGACTGTCTGGGAGGTTTGGATCCCCCCATATCCACGCCCCAGTCATTAGGGTTATTACTATTATTATTATTATTATTATTGCTTGGAGCAGAGGCTATTTTACCACACACAGAAAGACCCTGGGGAACAAAAGTAGACTACCTCCAGAAGAAAGGACAGTGTCAGCACCAATTCAGAGATGATTTGAGGATCTACAGCCGAGTGATACACAAATAGGATACATTGTTGTTAATAGTTAGGGAACTTGAATGCATTTTTAAGATTCAACTCCTGAATTTAGTTTCACTTCAATTGAAAAAAACATTAAGACTCAATATGTGAAATAAATGTATGTAAATATATAGGCATTCCTCAGTTTTTCCAGGTCAGACCCCACAATTATATTACATAAAAAACTTGTTCATTTAGTTTATGTAACAGATTGGGCATGGATCAAAATCACACAACTTACCAAGGCCTTTTATTTAGAAAGGAAACCACTTCTTTAATAAATGATAATTAAAAAGAATTGTTTTTACTGTATATTTATTTTCACACCGTTAACAATTCTCACTTTGATGTTCACAAATTCACACTCGAAAGTTAACAAAAACAAATAATATACTGAAAACCTTTTTATTAATTTGATTTAGTTAGCTCGGGGCTTAGGGGTAAAACAGGAGAAGGGCACTTTGTGCTAAAGTTGACTTATTCTTTAAGGAAATAATAGCTATGGGAAAACCTCTGTGGGGCCCCCTTCCCTTGGTGCCATAAGAACATGCTTATTTTGGTTAATGATTAGTTCAGTCCTGCAAGACCCTAAGATTGTGTACCCCTAAAAAGATCAGTTGATGCTGAAAAAATGCTGGCAATCTACTGAAGTAAGAGTGGTCAGCTAGACAATTAAGGTTTAAAATTATGTTCCTGCTCTAATGCCCCCCTCCTTCCTGGCAACCTATATCCTCATTGGTTGATAGTTGTTTATAGAATATGCTGACAGCCCTTCCACTACCTGTCCTGGATCTTAATATACTTTATGCTAAGATCAGTAACAGTATTGTAACAGCTACCACAAAGAGAGGTTGCAAGGGAGCCCCATAAACGTTTTGCTATGGGGCCCATTGATCTGTAGTTATGCCCTCAGGCCTGGTCCACAATTGTGCATTTTTTAAGCCGTTAAATGCCTCAGAAATTCCATACAAAATTCATGATGAAATCTGTGCAAAGTATAGTCAATTACACTGTCCATACCTGTTCCATTTCATCATAGAGCTTTATTGCTATTAACAGCAATAGCAAAGATCTGATGTGCAAATTCATATACAATTTTCTACAGCAAAAAGGCAAAGGTAATATCAGGGAATGCTAAATGGATGTAACGGCATTTCCTTTAAAGCAAGTGGACCTTTTGTTTGCTGTTTTAACAATTCTTCTCTTCCAAGTTTTTAAAGTGTTGGTTACAAAGTGTTAACAAAAGGCTGACCTGCAGAATACAGACCAATGTCATATGATTTAGCTGGGATTAAAGCACTTCTATCAGGAAAAACAAATTATTCAAGTGGTTTTAGGTATTTGTTAGCCAAAGATCTATGTGTCATGTTTAGATTGGGTGTGTCAGGGAATGATGAAGAGGAAGTCACGAGAGAGGCAATGCAGCTGTCCCAGTTTGATTAAGTGCGAAAGAGGTCATAGAGACAAAGTGGTACAGATTACATCTTTTCAAGTGCATACTACTGGACACACTCAGTCCTTTCATCTGCAGAACCTACAACAACAAAAAGAAAATGGCAAAATCAAGAGAAACTGGCAAAGGGTTTCCATAAAAGTATTAGGGTGGTTAATGCAATATTTAAGGGGTTATTCACTAAGCTGCCAAAGGCAGCCGAATGAATAACCGAGCCGAACCATAGAGAGCCGAAGCATCTTCTGCTATTCACTGCAGCCGTGTACTGGCTGCATTCGGCCCACTTCACCTCCCTTTGGCTTGGCTGGACAGCCTCAGCTCGTCTGGTCGACCTGAAGGGAAAAGCTGGTTTGCCTCAGCCGATGCAACATCTGGATCAGCTGAAGCGAACATTCGGTAGTTCATTCGCTGCTGTTCACCCCTATTCTCCAAGAGAGTGAATTACCGAAGGGATGGCTCATGTTTCGGTTTGAAAAGGTAATAGGAGACAATCAGCTCAATTCACAAAACTAAAACACAAGGATAAGGATTCTTATTGTGAAATAAGTGAGTTAAATTTAGTTACATCCAATAAGATTTCAAAATGATAGTCACTTGCCTGAAAATAAAAATTCTTATCCTTGTGTAATGCTTTGTGAATTGAGCCTAATGCCTTTCCAAAATTATTTACCCCCTCTCCCACCCACAACATTTAGACACAAGTGTCCTCTATTTGCAAGGAGAAAAGGCAAACAAAATAAATTAAAAGACATGCATCATACTGCGCCTCTGTGCTAGTCTTGTGGTATGTTACAGTAATATGGCTATGGAGATTGTCTTATGCTTCTATTAATATATATTTTTTTGTGTTCCAGAGGGTGGTGAAGAAAATGAACAAGCAACTCCAAGTGAGAAAACCACTGATGAACAAAACCAAGCACCAAAACAGGAAAGCTAACCACTCCGTGTGATAGCTTTTAAACTAGTCATATCTGTGATAAGCCTCAAAGCAATATGAAATTCGCTAGCATCAAAAGCAAAGAGTACCGAATAGATGCCAGAAATGACTGGATCACATCAAAGAAATGGCTGGCTCTGAAGTTGTGGGAAGGAATGTTTCCCAATTTTATCATAAGCAATGGCTGATGTGTGGACAGAGTTCACGTAATCACACGAGATGTTATTGAAACACCACGGCTTGCCACAAAAATTCTTGTTGTGGCATAGAAGCCCATGAAGGGTTAAATTCTATGCTGTTGTAAAGGCTTCCACAAATTTTTACAACGCTAGTCAATATTCAGATTTCCCAAATGTAGAAAAAAAGTAAGATGAGAAAAAAAATTCAAGAATATTGTACTTGTGTTTCAATAGCTTTGTTGTTTACAGATGTTTTGTACGGTTCATTTTAATAAGCTACACTGACCTGTTTAAGATGTGCACACGTCAAATGGTTATCACTCAAATGAAGGGCTGGATATTACTATTCAACGGATCCTTTAATCACCGTGAAATTCATACAATTTCATCACCATAGTCCTATTACTCAAACAAGCAGTTTTCTAGAACAATACACTGTCTAATTCAGTAGCCGTTTAATTCACTGTGTCATGTGATTTGTCAGTTTAAATTTTCACTGTGGCTTAGATGTTTAAACAATGGGGAAGCCAATTTTCACAGGACAATTTTTCACAAAATTGCAAATGAAGTTCACAGATGTTTGTTACTTTTTTTACCTTCTACAAAATCAAATCTGTATGTGTGAGGTTTTTTTTTTGGCTGAATAGTTACACAAGGGGGTAATGCACTACAATAATGGATAAAATGCACTTAGGAAGTGTGTGGTGGTATCCTGGCACACCAATTCCTTCCAGAATCAGTATTGATTTCTAACACTGTACTTGTTACAAATGTAATAGTGCACTTTTTAATGTTTGTACATTTTAATAATGAATAGTGTGGTTGTTTATCAGTTATAAAACCCAATAAAGTTAGCTAAATAAAACAACAAATATTGGGTTGTCTTGTGTGTTTTACCCTTTAGATTTCTTCCTATAGCAAAAGTAAAGGCAACTGTAAATGTTTTGTTTACCCACTTCAACTCTCATATACTGCTTATAGACCAGAGCAATATTGACATTTCAACCATGAGTCTGTTTATTCTGCGATCATTTTGCCATTGCTTAAGATAACAAATGCATACACTGTTTTTGGGGACAAACTACGCCTTCTTTTGGCAATATGGTCTTGAAAATGATATATTACTTTCTTTGTAATCTATAGAAAAAAAAATTAAAAAAATATTTGTTTCTGTTGTGGCCAGTATAGATTTTATTCTATAATTTGTCCCATTTAAAATTACACGAAATTGACATTTCTTTCCATTTATTTTGATGTGATACTGAAAATAAAATAACAAATATAAACAAAAAAGAAAATATTAATGGCCAGAAAAAAGAAACAAAAAAAATTAGTGAGTGAGGGAGAAATGAGTTCATTGGGGCTGATTAGAGTTAACTAAGGGTTAATAAGAGGTTAACAACGGTGTAAATTATTTTATTTATTTATATTTTACTTGTAAGGTTTCTTTGTGCAATTTAATGTGCATACACCTGAAACAGTAACTACAGTGTAACAATACATTGACAAGTGTCATTTTGCACAGGAGTGACTGCATTTTGACTACCGGCAATTGTTTGAAATCAAGGCACGAAGGAGCAGGGGCAGGAGAAGTGGAGCAGGACGTAAGAAATATACCCTAGGTTTTAAAATCCTGAAATAGTAAAGAGAAAGAACATAGTTTTATATAGACAATATATATATATATATATATATTTATATATATATATATAAACTGTATAAAATGGTTAAATATATTTAACATTTAAATACATGCAGCACAGAGTAACAGCCTGTCTTAGTGATTTTGCAGTGCAGTTCACCAACGACGGGGCAAGAAAACCAAAGTCTAGCAACAATAGTACAAGCAAGGTCCTCCTGTGGAGTTTGGGCCCTGGGCAGTCCTTTGAATCACCCCAATGGAGATACGCCACTGATGAATCCTACCACCAACCCTCCCACATAAAAATACATTATATAAACGGTACAGGTATGAATTGGGTTGATAAAAAGAAAAAGAAAAAAAAACAAATTGCTATGTGCTATGTGACCAGTTTTAGTTCTCTTTTATTTAAAGTAATTTACCATTTTCTCCTCAATGTAAAATGAACAGGAAAGACTACTCTTCAGCAAATTAATCTGCCCATCCAGGCCAGCATAGATGCAGGAAGCTAGTGGAGCCATCATCCAATCCCAGCAGATGAATACACCCACCCTGTGACACCTCCATTTCTACCAGGGTGATTTAGCATTTTTAGCCATAGTTTTAGGGTTACCAATCAATCATAAAAGCCATTCACGTATATGAAGAGGTCTCTCTGTAAAGCTATTTGAAATATTTTAGTGGATCTTCAAAAGAAAAAACAGAAACATGTTTTAAGCCCCCATGTCAAGTCTTTGCTCATATTCTAGACCAAGTAATTCAATTAGAATTGATGTATCCATATTGCAACTTTCACATTATAAATATTCATAACAAATGCAACGTGTTACTTTATTGTAAATAGAAAAGGTCAATTAGCGCCCATTCACACCTGTGTGTTCCAGTACCGCACATAAACTCATGGCTGTGTGTTCAGTGTGTGTAGAATGGACTGTAGAAGTGTGAATGGGCAAGGTTTTTTCGTGAGAGAAGGGGGGCTACCAATGTGCCTTATGAAAATGCTGGTTGCCTGGCTCGTAATGCTGATGTAGCATCTTTAATACAATACAATGTCACTGACCTGACCAGCAGTTTTTAAGATCAGGAAAGTTGGAGAAACTCAGAAGTCCCTATCTGGAAAATTGTTCTGGGCTAGAGACTTAAAGTACTGCAGCAAGATGATCAGCATATTGGACAGGAAATTAGCATTTTAAGAATGAGTGGTGAGCAATGGCACTCTTTGCGTTTCCTTTATGGGTTCCCACTTTTTTTAAAGTGAATGCATAGCCTTGTATAGCCTTAGTTTTGGAAAGTATTTCTTGACCTAAGGAAGGATTAGAACCCCTGTTAGGTTATATTTGCTGTCAGTACCCCGGAAGATTTCAAGTCATGTGGTGTCCCAGAGATGCAACTGGAAGTGAGATGAAATATCCCCAAAGCAAAGGGAATTTTACTCTTATACAACTGTCACCGGAACAAGTGTCCCCATTGGAACACCTGCACTCACATCTGGTTCTGGGGACAACTCTAAAATTTTGCATTTCCCTTCACCTTCTGTCTCAGTGACAATGGTTACCAGAACAGATATAGAGGATAAATCTCCCCAGTGTGGACGTACTGTACACATCAATAAAAACATGACAGAGGGCTTTACCCTTCCTACTCTATCAAGAAAAAATTGTCTTTACATATACTTTAAGATGTAAAGGAATGCTATTTTGTTATTTTCTTTTCAGGGATGGCTAAGTTACATAAGATTAATAAGGTATTTTCAGAAAGTTCACGTATAGCACTACCCCCGCAAGGGCCGCTGTAATATATGGGTCTTCTGTCCCACCCCAGTGATGACTCACTCTTACCTGGATCCAAGTGACACCAACACACCGTTTAAAACGTTCAAATGGGCTTTATTAAAATTAGCAATAAGCCCTGGAAAGCGATCAACTGGTTAACAGGATCGACAATTTTAAATGCAATGATACAATACAACCGCTCAACAAAGTAAACAGGATTGATATTCATTCACTTTAACCACCAGTGAGAGGCCTTGCCTGAAATGCACTGAACGAGTGGTGAACGAAACTGTCAGTTGCACAATACGGAAATACTGCTCAACACGTACCAAAGGAAATATGACTGACTCTAAGAACCTATCTAGCTCCCATAGGTCCTATCTAACCACTGGCCAATGGGAATCCGACACACTCAGAGTCTGCCAGCGTTGGGGCCCTTTCAATTCTGTGGTTGAGTACTCAGCCTTTGGTAAAACAATATTTGTAATCCACAGGATGGAAAGGTGTATCTTCACAAAGTGTAACAGAGTAACCAACATTAACAGACGTGGTGATGCACCTTCAGATAGAGCTGCATTGGCAGTAAATAGGATCTAGCAGGAATAGGCAAGATCAATTCACACAAAGATGGCAAAAGATCTCTCACTATTAGATGCACTTTATATATCTTCCTTACAGCAATTGGTAGCTTGATAGCTGCCTCAGCCAACTGGATGGCAATGGGTGCAACACAGGCCACAGAATCCCCCAAACAGGATGATGATAATGACTGCAGTACCGAAATACGCCTCTAGATGTCACTGCACTGTTAGCACCTTTCACACTTCAGAGATCAGGCGAAAGGTTAGCATAGCATACTGGGGCTCCCCTCTCAAGCCTGCACCTCCCTTTAGAAGTCTCCACAGGAATCACAGACTCTGGCAAGACAAGACACTTAAAGGCTGATGTATTAAGATTTTGCTCAGCGAATAGCTGGGTGAATGCCGATTGCATAGCATTCCTGCCACTAGATATAGCCAAGGAGCATAGGAAATTCCTATGCTCCTTGACTCTACTTTGTGGTGGTAATGCCATGAGAACGACAAATGACTATACGCTGGGTCGAAAATGTATACGGTAGCACCTTAAACTTTGTTCACATCTGTGTGCTACAGGAACAAGCGTGACATCACGTGCATTCCTGCAGAGCACAGAAAAGAGTGTCATTCTTCTAGGTGTGCTGCCGTGCCATGCATTCCTAATGCAACCACAGCATGCCTTGACATCACGAGTGCATGAAACCGCAGCAGAACACATGGTAACAAAGCACCATGGGTTTTGCTGCGATACTCTGAAAAAAAGATGAAGTGCACAGGGCAGTCCTTTGAAATGAATGGGTTGATCCAACGTAGAGCATATTGATGTGTGAAAAATATGCATCAATGCGAGAGTGTGGTTGCATCAACTTAGGTGTGAACCTATGCTTATGGATTGGGAGTAGTATAGAATAATTAAGGGATTTTCTCTACTTACCAGTGACAGGCTTGTTTATGGACATTCTCTGTTTCTGAAGCAGAAATGGCAGATAAAATATAAATAAAGCTGCCAGTAGAGAAAATTAAATCGATCCCTGTGGACCAAAAACAACCTAATACACAATGGGATCATTCTCAATTATAATATACAAATTATTTTTATTATGATGTACCAAGAAGAACGTATGAGCTCAGCTAACAATGAATAACTTCTGCAAATGTATTATTGCCATCCTTGCTATATGTCTTCAGGGTTCTGGCTGACTGCATTCCCGTGTCCAGGTACTGAAGATCACAACTTTATTTCTACTTTTGCAAAGGGATATGTAATAATAAAACAATCCATCTTTTGAATGGTCAGTCTGTGTGAGCTCCTTTCCGTAGTTCTGCATCTTATTTTTCCTAATAGATTACAAGGGAATTGCAAGGGAATTTCTACTTAGCTTGGTGCAGCCTTTCTGGACCAGGGTGTCGTAGCACCTTGGGGGTGCCTTCTGCTTTTTTGAGGGGTGCCTTCAAATGTTCACAAAGCATAATTCCTTTCCATGGTGCAGGCAGGCTTCTGATGTGAAGGAGGGACTCTGATGTGAGTAGAGCTCCTATTATAAAGAGGTTAATAGAGGCGCGGAGAGCAGCAGGGTTTAAAAGAGACACAGACCGCTGCAGCCAGCAGCAGTGGGGAGAAGAACGTAGGAGCATAGCGGCGGCAACTAATCAAAAAACAACTAATCAATGATAAGAATCGTTACCAATGATTCTTATTATCGATTATAATTTATTTAATCGATTAGTTGTTGCAGCCCTATTTTTAGATTCTACATGGTTCCCCTGCTTATTTTGTCTGCTTCACCTAACAAAACCTAACAAAAATATTTCAAACGATAGCTCCGCAGTTCTACAGTCTATGAGGCATTATACAGTCCAAGGGAA